TCAACACACTCTTCAAATCCCAAGTGAGCCACAAGGCCTCCAGCTGGAACTGAGAGGAGGAGCTCCCCAAAACAGTGGAGATCAAGGCTATTGGGCACGTGATAGAGGAAGGCAGTGTCAAAATGAAGGTGACCATCATCAACACCCCTGGCTTTGGAGACCAGATGAACAATGAAAACTGCTGGGAGCCTATTGAGAAGTACATCAGTGAACAGTATTAGAAGTTCCTGTAGGAGGAGGGAAATATTGCTAGGAAGAAATGCATCCCTAACACTCATGTCCACTGCTGCCTCCGCATCATTTTCCCCAGAGGATACTCCTTGCAACCTCTCGATCTGGAGTTCATGAAACAACTCAGCGAAGTTGTGAACATCATTCCTGTCATTGCTAAGACTGATACCATGACCCCGGAGGAGAAGTCTGAATTCAGGCAAAGGGTTTGCAAGAAACTTGGTGTAAATGGAATTGAATTCTACCTCCAGAAGGAATTTGATGAGGATTTGGAGGACAAGATGGAGAATAACAAAATATGGCGAGATACAAGGATATGATTTTCCCTCCCAAACATTTAAATAATTGTTCTAGCACCATTTATCTTTTATGTTCCCACTGATTTGAAATGCTGTCTTGGTCATATGCTTTAATTTTTATATACACCATTATTGTGAATGTACTATAATTCCAAATTTTGGTATTTTAGGCTTTATATTTTTCTGTCTTGGTTGTGAAAAGATATGTCACTGTTCTTGCACTTCTTGATTTCTAGTGAGGTAGAGTTTATATTGTTATTGTTTATTTTCTTTTCTTTGTATTCCCTGTTCAGGTCTTTTGCCCATTTTTATATTAGTATTTGTATTTTTATGGATTGTAACAGTTCTTTATGTGTTCTGGTTAGCAATATTTTGTTACATTCATTATAACAAATTTCCCCCACTCTGTGATTTGACTTCACTTTATGTTACTAAATGTCAGTGTAGTTCAGTTCATCACTCATAACTTTATGGTTTGTTCATTTTCTAATCTTAATTTACTAAATATTTACTGAGCATTTATTATGTTCCAGGTACTATTTTAGGCACTTGGGATATATCATAGACAAAATAATGATGGTTTCTAGAGCTTAAATTTAAGAAGCTCTTATGTACCCTGAGTTCATAAAAATACTCACCTGTATTTTTTTTCCCTAAAAGTGTTTGTTTTGATTTTTCACTTTTTGACCATTAATTCACCTGGAATTTATTTTATTTTGTTTTTAAAATTTTTTTTTTTGTATCTTTATTGTTGAATGTATTACAGATGTTCCTTATTTTCCCCCATTGACCCCCTCCTCCCCACTCCTTTCCCCACCTCTCTCCTGCCTTTTCCCACACTGTTGTCTGTGTCCATTGGTTATGCATATAAGCTCTTTGGTTTATTTCTTCCCACCCCCACCCCCTTCCCATTGAGGTTTGTCAGTCTAGCAACCAATATATACTTCTTAATCCCGTCACCTTTTTCTCCCATTCCCCCAACCCCCCTCCCATCTGGCAACCAACAAAATATTCTCTGTATCTATGAGAATGTTTCTGTTCTGCCTGTTCATTTTACTTGTAGATTCCATTGTTGATAGATACGTATTCGTTGCCATTTTGTTTGTTCATATATTTCATCTTTTTCTTCAAAAAGACCCTTCATCGTTTTATATAATTACAGGTGGTGATGAACTCCTTTAACTTTTTCTTGTCTGGGAAACTCTTTATAGGGCCATCGATTCTAAATGACAGCTTTGCAGGATAGAGTAATCTTGGTTGTAGGTTCTTGCTTTTCATCACTCTGAATATTTCTTGCCACTCCCTTCTGGCCTGCAAAATTTCTTTTGAGAAATCAGCTGACAGCCTTATGGGAACTCCCTTGTAGGTAACTAGCTGCCTTTCTCTTGCTGCTTTTAAGATTCTCTCTTTGTCTTGAACCTTTTGCATTTTGATGATGATGTGTGGGCCTCTTGGGGTTCATCATATTTGGGATTCTCTATGCTTCCTGGACATGTGTGTCTGTTTCCTTCACCAAGTTAGGGAAGTTTTCTGCCATTATTGTTTCAAATAGGTTTTCTATTTCTTGTTCTCTCTCTTCTCCTTCTGGCACCCCCAAGATGTGAATGTTGGCACACTTGAGGTTGTCCCAGAGGCTCCTTACACTATACTCATTTTTTTGGATTCCTTTTTCTTTTTGCTGTTCTGATTGGGTGTTTTTTGCTTCCTTATATTCCAAATCAATGGTTTGCTTCTTGGCTTTTCCTACTCTACTATTGAATCTGTGTAAATTATTCTTTATTTCAGTTAGTGCCTCCTTCATTTCTGACCGGTCCCTTTTTATGCTCTTGAGGCCCTCACGTAGTTCACTGAGGTTCTCACTAAGTTCATTGAGCATCCTTATAAGCAGTATGTTGAACTCAGCATCTGTTAGGTTGCTTATCTCCATTTTGCTTAGTTCTTTTCCTGCGGTTTTGTTCTGTTCTTTCATTTGGGACCTGTTTCTTTGACTCCTCATTTTGGCTGCCTCTCTGTGTTTCTTTCTGTGTATTACTTAACAAGAGGTATGGGGCTATCTGAGACCAGATGCTGCTTGTTTGAAAGAACTTAGGAAAACCTGAAGAAGGATCCAAGACAGGCCAATCCTATGGTTAAGCAACTGGCAACAGCTTGGGTGGGCCTGAAAGTTGGGTAGGGCGGAGCCTCAGGGAATCACCAGGGCGGGGCAACCAGTGTGAGCCAGGTTGCTGGAGCCCAGATATGGCGGCTGTCTGCTGCCCCAGGGAAGGGCTTACCAAAGGAACAAAGGCCTTTGAGAGCACGTTTGTCCTGGAGAAAGCCCCCTCTCCAGCCCTCACTCCAATGCTAAACAGCTCAGTTCTTCCCTGTATGTCTCTGGTGCTCCTCGAGGTGCCTCCCCTTTAAGCTTAGAGGGAGTGAGTCCGATAAGTTTGTGTGCGGGCCCTTTAAGGAGCTGCTGGGGGCTCTAGCCGCCTCAGCCTCCCTGAGCCTCAGTTTCCGCTGGTTTTTCCATCCAGAAGTTATAGGGACTTTTCTACTTGGCACTGCAGCCCTGAGCGGGGCACTTGGTGTGGGACAGGGACCCCTCAGTTCTCAGGGAGGACCTTCCCAGCTGAGGTGTCCTCCGGATTTTTATCCACCACACTTGGGTGTGCGACCAGCCTGTCCGCCTCCGCTCCTCCTACCAGTCTCGATGTGGCTGCTGCTTTAATTCCATAGTTGTAGGACTTCCATTTAGTTCGATGTCAGGTGGTTCTGAATGATGGTTGTTCTGTAGTTTAGTTGTAACTTTGATGTGGTTGTGGGAGGACGCCATACTGCGTTTGCCTACGCCGCCATCTTGACCGGAAGTATATGGTGTGAAGTAGATCTAGCTTATTTGTTCCATGTGGGTAATTAATTATCTTAGCATCATTTATCCACTAATATGTTATTTCTCTAGTGTTTTGTAATGTCTCCTCTGTTGGCTATCAAATTTCTGTATTTGTGTAGGTTTGTTTCTGTGTCCTTTCTGTTCATTGGTATATTTCTGAATCTTTGGCATTTGTACCACACTGTTAATCACAGTATCCTTAAAATAGTTCTTGATATCATAGGCCTGACTTCTTTCTTTTTCTTCAAAACTGTTTGACCTATTCTTAGCCCTTGGATTTTCCATATATATGTAAGATTATCAGCTGTACTCCATTTTCTCTTTGGTTGTGCCTGGCTTTCTTTTCAAAGCTGTTATTTGCTGTGTCAGGATAAAATCCTGCTATATTGGTGGTGTCTTACAGCTTAAATAGTTTTGCAGCTGCTGCTTCATGTTTTTTTCCCTCTTTTCTTTCCTTCGGTCTTGTCCTTTTTTTTCTTATGGTCATTCAAAAAAGAACTTTAAGGCCCTGCCTGGATGGGTAGTTCAGTTGGTTAGAGTGTCATCTCTGTACGCCATGGTTGCAGTTTGATCCCCGGTCAAGGCACATACAAGAAGCAACCAATGAATGTATAAATAGTGGAACAACAAATCAATTTCTCTTCCCCCCCCCCTTCCTCTTCTCCTCCCCCCCTCCCTTCCTCCCTATCTCTCTGTCTAAAATCAATAAATAAAAAATAAAATTAAAAAGTACTTTAACCTTAAGGTAATATATTGAAGAAGGGGAGGCAAATAATAGAGAAATGTATAAAGCAAAAGGTGTAAATCTCTGATATCATTTTGCTGAGACCTTCCAGATATTTTTCTGAATGTGTACAAATGTGTGTTTATAAAAGTAAAAATTGGTCCTATGCATACTGTTCTTGTAGTTTGCTTTATTTCATTTAGTATTTAAGAAGGCATTCTTCTATAGCTTTAGCACATTCCTTTTAATGGCTAAATTGTGTATATTTTAATGACTGAATCATGTATACACAGTAATTTAACCAATTCCCCTTTGATAGGTTTGTAGATACCTACCTACTTTTTGATCTTGCAGCTTTCAAATACTGCATCAGCAAAGTAGAGGCTGTGCAGTTTATTTTACATCTATCTAAGGTCTCCCCCTGAACTCTTTTCAGGGGTATTAATGGAGTTCTGTCAAGAGCTATCCTGTGAGGGCACAAAGCTTTCTTAAAAGGGAAGAGTTGATAGTTAATCTTGTAGTTAACCTTGGTGTTAATCCTTTAGTTGGGTGCTGTGTGTATTTTACTAAAAAGAAATACCTAAAAAGTTTCTTGTTTGTTTGTTTGCTTGTTTTAATATGTGGTATTCTAGAGGAGGAAAGTATTTATGGTGTAGTGTTAGAGGTAGTACCCAGATTGAAGAGTATAGAAATGAATGAGAAAATGGAGATGGAGAGCTTAAGCAGGTCTTTGTCGCACTCTTGACTATGAGGAGGTAGGGGAGGAAGAGAGGCAATTCTTGGCATTTTGCTTTTTGTTGGTATTATGCCTATTGAAAGAAATTAAAGTTGGATCTCTATGGTATATAATTTGCCCTTTTCTTGATCTTCCTAGGCTCCACCAGGCAATGTGAAAATGCCGAATGTACCCAGTACACAACCAGCAATAATGAAACCAACAGAGGAACCTCCACCTTATACACAGATTGCAAAGGTTAGTTCATGTTACATGTGTACATTCATATTGGAAATTATATCAGTATCATTTGCTTCCAGAGCAAAATAATTTTTTTATTTGAGACATTCCTTATAATTTAATTTTTTTAAAAAGTATTTTTTCTTTATTGAGGAAAGGAGAGAGAGAGAGAGAGAGAAACATCAGTGGGAGAGAACATCGATTGGCGGCCTCCTGCATGCCCCCCCACTGGGGATTGGGCCCACAACCTGGGCACGTGCCCAGGCCGGGAATTGAACCGGCAACCTTATGGTACACGCATGGGTTGACATTTAACCAGTGAATTACACTGGCTGGGCTTATTATTTAATTTTTAACTCACTTTTGAGTCTAGGTTAGCCACCTTGTTGACTCTGTATTACTCATATGTCTTTTTCAGCTTATAACATTTGTTTTGCTCCATGATTAGCAGTTATTAAGTTCATCCATCTCTTATCTTGGTGTACACTTTTTTTTATTTCTCACCTGAGGACATTTTTCTACTTATTGTCAGCCAGAGTGGGAGGGAGGGAGGGAGGGAGGGAGGGAGGAAGGGAGAGAGAGAGAAACATTGATGTGATAGAGCCACACTGACTGGTTGCCTCCCACACTACCCAATCAGGGCCAGGGATGAACCGCAACCCAGGCACGCGCGCTTGACTGGAATTGAACCTGTGACCCACGACTCATTGGTCCTCAGGCTGATGCTCTAACCACTGAGCCGAGCCAGCCAGAGCCTTGTTGTACACTTTCTATAGTGAAATTTTTATTGCCTTTGGCATCACTTTTTAAAAAAATTTTATTGTTGAATGTATTACAGATGCCCCCCACTTTTTTCCCTAATTGACCCCCCTTCTGCCTTCCTCATACTATTGGCTGTGTCCATTGGTTATGCATATATGCATAGAAGTCCTTAGGTTTATCTCATCCTGTCCTCCCCCAACCTTCCCTTTGAGGTTCATCAGTCTAACAACCAATTTGTTCTTTTTAATTCCTTCATCTTTTTCAACCATCCCCCCAGACCCCTCCCATCTGGCAAGCAGCAAAAAGTTCTCTGTGTCTATGAGTCTGTTTCTGTTCTGCTTCCTCATTTTGTTTGTAGATTCAGTTGTTGATAGATATGTATTAATTGCCATTATATTGTTCATATTTTTGTTCTTCAAGAAGACCCGTCAACATTTCATATAATACTGGTTTGGTGGTGATGAACTCCTTTAGTTTTTTCATGTCTGGGAAACCCTTTATTTAATTTTTTGGTACATGCCACTAGCGGGAACCAAATCTGGGACTCTCTGGTCTGCAGTCCGGCACTCCAACCGCTGAGCAAAATCGGCCAGGGCAGGAGAAACCCTTTATATGTCCATTGAGTCTAAATGATAGCTTTGCAGGATAAAGTATTCTTGGTTGTAGGTCATCGCTTTCATCACCTTGAATATTTTTTTGCCACTCCTTTCTGACCTGCAAAGTTTCTTTTGAGAAATCAGCTGACAGTCTTATGGGAGGTCTTTTGTAGGTAATGAACTGCTTTTCTCTTGCTGCTTTTAAGATTCTCTCTTTGTCTTGAACCTTTGGCATTTTGATGATGTGTCTTGGTGTGGACCTCTTGGGGTTCATCTTGTTTGGGACTCCCTGTGCTTCCTGGACTTGTATGTCTGTTTTCTTCATCAAGTTAGGGAAGTTTTCTGTCATTTTTTTCAAATAGGTTTTCAATTTCTTTCTTCCTCTCTTTCTGGCACACCCATGATGCAAGTGTTGGGATGCTTGAAGTTGTCCCAGAGGCTCCTTACACTATCCTCATATTTTTTTTTTTTTCTATTTTCTTTTTGCTGTTCTGATTGGGTAATTTTTGCTTTCTTATATTCTAAATCTATGGTTTGCTTCTTGTCTTTACCTACTCTACTACTGATTCTCTGTAAATTTTTCTTTATTTTAGTTACTGCATCTTTCATTTCTGACTTGTCCTTTTTTATGTTGTTGATGTTCTCACTAAGTTCCTTGAAGTTCTCACTAAATTCCTTGAGTATCCTTATAATCAGTGTTTGAAACTCTGCATCTGACGGATTGCTTATCTCCATTTTGTTTAGTTCTTTTCCTGAAGTTTTGTTCTTTTCTTTCATTTGGGACATGTTTCTTTGTCTCCTTATTTTGGCTGTTTCTCTGTGATTGTTTCTATGTATTAGGTAGAGTTGCTATGTTTCCTAGGCTTCGTAGGGTGGCCTATTGTTGTAGGTGTCCTGTAGGATCCAGTGGCACAGACTCCCTGATCACCCAAGCTGGGCCCTCAAGGTGCACCCCTAGTGTGGACTGTATACCCTTCTGTTGTAATCGAGTCTTGATTGTCATTGGCACATCAGTGTAGGGATTTACACAGGCTGATCAACTATAAGGACTGGCCCTGGCCTGTTTGGCTCAGCAGTTAGAGCGTCGGCCTGCGGTCCGGAGAGACCCAGGTTCGGTTCCCGCTAAGGGCACGTACCTTGGTTGCAGTTTGTCCCCAGCCCTGGTTGGGTCGTGTGGGTGGCAACCACTCGATGTGTCGCTTTCACGTCGATGTTTCTCTCTCTCTCTCTCCCACTCATTCTATCTGAACAAAATATCGAAAAATGTCCTCGGGTGAGGATAAAAAATAATAATAATAATAATAAACTATAAGGACTGGCTGTGCCCACTGACCACTGGCTTCTGACTACCTTGGAGGATCAGCTGTGCAGGGGCCCACCACACAGAGTAAGACTTACTTCAGCAGGGTCTGGTACCCACTGAGTTCACTCCTTGAGTGTCACTTGTGGAGGTGGTTGGGTGGTGGTGCTTTGATGTGATCTGAAGCTGTCCACTGGGTGTGCTGGGTCTGGGGCAAGGTCAGCCTCTGCCTGTTTTATATCCAGGGCCACCAGGCATAAGCTACAAAATGATCTGCCAATGGCTGCTTCTTGTGTTGGGTTTGGTGGAGCTCAGGAAAAGCCAAGTTGTGAACCAAGGCTGGCTGCTTCTAGTGCCAGACCTGGGGCCACTTAACAAGAGGTATGGGGCTCGCTGAGACCAGGTGCTACTTGTTTGAGAGAATTTAGGAAACTCTGAAGCAGGATCCAAGACAGGCCAATCCTATGGTAAAGCCTTTGGAAACAGCTTGGGTGGGCCTGAAAATTGGGTGGGGCAGGGCCTCAGGGAGTCACCAGGGTGAGGCAAACTGTGTGAGCCAGGTTGCTGGAGTCCCAGATATGGCGGCTGTCTGCTGCCCCAGGGAAGGGCTCACCAACAGCACATCTGTCGATGAGAAAGTTGCCCCTCCAGCTCTTGCCCTGATGCCAAACAAGTCTGCTTCACTGTATGTCTCTGGTTCCTTTCATGCTGCCTCCCCAACGCTGGAGCCTGGAGGGTGCAAGTCCAAGTAAATCTGTGCGCGGGCCCTTTAAGAGGAACTTCCTGGGGCTCCAGCAGCCTCAGCCTCCCTGAGCCTCAGTTCCCGCTGGTTTTTCCAGCCAGAAGTTATGGGGATTCTCTTCCTGGCACTCGAACCCTAAGCGGGGCACCTGGTGTGGGACGGGGACCCCTCAGTCCTCAGATAGGACCTTCCCAGCCGAGGTATCCTCCTGATTTTTATCCGCCACACGTGGGTGTGGGACCAGTCTGCCTGCACCTCCGCCCTCCTACCTCTCTTGATGTGGCTTCTTCTGTAATTTTGTAGTTATAGGACTTCCATTCAGCTCGATTTCTGGCAGTTCTGAATGATGGTTGTTCTATAGTTTAATTGTAATTTTGATGTAGTTGTGGGAGGAGGCAAGACCGCGTTTACCTACGCCGCCATCTTGACCGGAAGTCTTTGGCATCACTTTTTAATGCACAGTACCATTATAGTAACAGTGACAGAATAATAAATGTTACCGGAAGAGACTTACAATGGCTAAGCAAGGGACAGTGGTAGGAATATGAGAAAAAAGGAGATGACTAGGATACCTGCCGTCATGTAAAGGCAGATGGAGTCATAAATCAGAATGTCTGAGCCTATCCTTCTTTTCCCTCATTATTTTACAAAATATAAGATATAAGTTCTTGCATAGGGAACCTTATGTATCATTTAACCCAATTCATAAGAGCCAATTCAGTTGCTTTTCTCCATTTGTCTCTTTTCCTCAACTCTTCCCTTTGTCTCTGTTATTCACTCATTTAGGCACAGCGGTCACCTTAAATTTCGTTTTTCCCAATTATTTTAGGACTCTGACTAGTCTCAGAATTTTTTCTGTTGTAATGTGCCCAACATTCCCATGAAGGTTTTCATGACCAGAATACCAAAATGGGTCAAATATCTATATAATATTTTCTGAAACTGTAATACTCCAATGGATTCCTTTATTTTGGAAGAGAATTTGAATTAGGTTTCTAGCAAAGTAGAGGGAGAAGTAGGCGATAGCATATCAGTGTTTCGATATTTTATACTTTTGACACCTATTCACTTACTATTTTTTTGTTTAGGAACATGCCTTGGCCCAAGCTGAACTTCTTAAGCGCCAGGAAGAACTAGAAAGAAAAGCTGCAGAATTAGATCGTCGAGAACGAGAAATGCAAAACCTCAGTCAACATGGTAGTATCTAAGATGTTTGAAACAAAAATAACTTTTAAACACTTTAAATTATGCCTGCACTGGCTCTAGGTCATGAGTAAAACTCTATCCTGTTTTCCTACTGTAGCAAGGAGGTCAGACAACAGATTTTCTACTTAATACTGTGTAGCTCTTTCATCTTGGCTGACTTGCATAGTCTTTTGATAGATCAGAACAGTGTTAGCCTTATCACACAGAAAGTGAATTAAAATATGATCATTTTGGTTTATTCTAAGGCCAGGAACGTTTGATTGTGCACTTGGACTGTCTTTGCATCTAATGAAACTTTGTGTACATGGGAGTGTGCCCGGCATTTGACGTTTTTGGTTTAGTTAGCCTAGTTTCAAGTGATCTGTCCCTGTACTCACTAATATATCTGTCAAATCATGTTAAGGAAATATGTCTGTGGTGATTCTAGGAAGCTTAGGGTATTTTAATGATGCCAAATAAATAAATAAATAAATGCTCAATTGATTATTAGCTATGAAGTCCATTCAGGCTCTGACTACCAAAGGCCACTTTAGGAGAGTATTTTAGGGAAAGCTAAAGGGATAAGAGAGCTAGACAAGCCATAGTTAGTATATCTGCGATAGTGATGGGATGACAAAGCTAGGACAACAATAATAAATGATCTGTTTCCTGAAGATACAATTATCCTGGGCCAGTTTCTTATTTGCAGTATCAAAGACAGCATCTCTAAAAGGAGAAACTAAAGGTGTAATTGAGATTAATGGTTCTGAAATTTCTGTGAGATATATTTTAGTAAGGGTGTTTTTGTTTTTTTTTTGTTAATCTTCACTCGATATTTTTTCCATTGATTTTTAGAAAGAGTGGAAGATGTGAGAGAGACACATTGATGTGAGAGAGACACATTGATTGGTTGCCTCCCACACACACCCCAACTGGGACTGGGGATCAAACCTGCAACCTAGGTACGTGCCCTTGACTGGGACTTGAACTCGAGACCCTTCGGGGTGCTGGCTGATGCTCTAACCACTTAGCACACTGGCAAGGGCAAAGTTGTAGTATGTTATATGTCTAATCCTCAGTACAATTCTGTGAAGGGTGGTATAGTTGTTGTTCTCATTTTTCAGATGTAGAAACAAAGTCTTTAGGTGGTTAAATAAGTTGCCCAAAGTTTCCCAGACAGTAAGTGGCTAGGCACGTCAGGTTTCAGAACCTTGCTTCTCAAGTAGTATGAGACTTGTATGGGAAATATATGAACTACATGAAATTTGAAAAGAATAATAAACAGTTAGAGACATGTTGGGGAGAAACATGTCATGAAATAGGTCATGCTTTTTTTCTGCTATGAAACTTTTCCTGGTCTAAAAAATGTATGTAAAATCTAATTTTAAAAAATTGTGAGACCCTGGCCGGTTTGGCTCAGCGGTTAGCGCATCGGCCTGTGGTCCTGAGAGACCCAGGTTCGGTTCCCGCTAAGGGCACGTACCTCAGTTGCAGTTTGTCCCCGGCCCTGGTCGGTTGTGCGGGTGGCAACCACTCGATGTGTCCCTTCACATCAATGTTTCTCTCTCTCTTTCTCTCTCTCTCTCTCTCTGTTCCTCTCTCTCCCTCCCACTCTACCTGAACAAAAAATGGAAAAATGTCCTCGGGTGAGGATAAAAAAAAAAAAAATTGTGAGATTAAAATGTCTAAAATGAAAAAATGGCTTTTAGATGTTATTTTTACTGTCTATTTTTAATGTTTGACTTCTTGATTTAATTTTATTTTTATATTTCCCTATTTTCAATCTAATAATCTTTTTAAAATCCTCACCCAAGGATAATTTTCCATTTATCTTCAGATATGGGAGGGAGTGGGGGAGGAAGATGGAGAGAAAGAGAGAAACATCTATGTGAGAGAGACACATCATCTGGTTGCCTCCCACACGACCCTGACCAGGGCTGGGGTTCAAACCACAACCGAGGTATGTACCCTTGACTAGAATTGAACCTGTGACTCTGGTTCGATTGGGCCAATGCTCTAATCGCTGAGCCAAACCTGCTAGGGCCAATCTAAATTCTTTATATAGACATATTTTTTCCCCTTACAGTTTGAATTTGTTTTTTCTCTAGGTTTTTGAAGGTGCTGTAATTCTTTAGCTTATTTCTCATGACTGTTTCATGTTTTCTCATAGTTTTGTAATTTTCTTATGTGTGTTTTGGGTATTATTTTTTTTTGAGACTTTGGGATTTCTGATTTTGATACTTTGGTCTTGATTAATCTTGTATTTTTTTCGTGGAGTTAATGGTAGAAAAGCAAAGATTCAAAAGCTAGGTCTTCCCTCTCCATATGAGTTAGGAATTATATGTAACGATTTAAGAATCCGAGGAAGAAATTGTAGAGATTTAAAAACTGCATGACCTGCACGTGAGAGCCAGACTCTTGGGACTTTGAAATAAATTTGTTTTCAGGGTGGTGTCACAGGATATGTGTCCCTATGTTCTTTTTTCTTTTCTATTTCAACTGGACAGAAATGGTTCCTGCTAAATGTTATAAGACAGTGGAAAATTATTTTACTATCTAATGCTTTCTAAAGTGACTGTGGGAAAATTTTACAAGATATAAAGGTTGGCTTTCAAAGTTCTCCAAGAATGTAGACATTACAGTGTTATATTTGTAGAACACCTATTAAAACAATAAATAATGTTTTTATTCTGAAACCAAAAATAAGAATAGCGTGTTTTTGTCCTAATATAAATAACTTTTTTTTTTTTTTAATTTTGCAGGCAGAAAAAATAACTGGCCCCCTCTTCCTGGCAGTTTTCCTGTGGGACCTTGTTTCTATCAGGATTTTTCTGTAGACATTCCTGTAGAATTCCAGAAGACAGTAAAGATTATGTATTACTTATGGATGTGTGAGTACAGAATAAATTATATATTTGTTCAGCGAAGTTTTTATATATGTGTGTGTGTGTAATATAATATATATATTAATTTTTTGAAAAATTGATTTTAGAGAGAGAGGGAGAGAGAGAAACATCCATTAGTTGCCTCCCATATGCACCCCAACCAGTAATTGAACCCACAACCTGGTTATGGTGCCCTGATCTGGAATTGAACCTGAGAACTTTCTGTGTACTGGACAATGCTACAACCAACTGAGCCACACTGGCCAGGGCCAAAGTTTTTATTTTATTGTCAAAATCCACCTTTTTTTGGGAATTCATACATTAAGGATAGTATCTTTAATTGGTCTTTTCCTGTAGATCTTTTAATTTTCAGAGTAAATATATATTTGGGTACTTCAAAATTGTACTGTATGTGATAATCTAAGTTCTTAGCTGAGGAAAACCTATATATTGAGAACTGTCATTCTTTTGAGGAAAGGACTTCTTTGTCACATAGGTAGAATTTTTCAGTAATTCCTTTTTTCCTTGAAAAATCTTCTCTGGGCAGTGTTTGCTTTGAAAAAATTATACATATATTTATATGCAAATGAAAGTCATTAAAAATTCTGTTAAAGCATTATGACTATTTTTAAAGGATGCATAAAATATTGTAATATTAGAAACTGATTTTTCTTAATAGCTTTGAGCACAATTTATATTTCACTTTCAAGTGGGGACGAATACTATTATTTAAAGTACCTAATTAATATAGGATGTTTCATTGACCAGGTCATTAGGACGTTCATTTTAGATTGTGATGCTCACATTTCTTTGAGTGTAATTACAACTCATGGAATACTAAAATAAAATGTCAAGCTGTTAATAGTTTGCTGTGTGTACACAGAATTCCCAATTACTCTGTTTCATTTTCATTCCAGTTATTTCAGTCCCATTTAATATTGTGTCAGTAGGAGAGGTAGCTGTCACAGCTTCTCACCTGCACAACCTCTGAGTTAATGGATAATTTGTAGAGTGCATTCTTGACAGAGGAAATTTATGTGTTTTTACTGTATGATTTGAGAGCCTTTTTTCCCCCCTCGGAATATCTGAGGTATTTTTCCTCAAAATCTTTTAGGTGCATTCTTCACATATGTAAAGTTGCTGTGGAATGTGAAAAGTGATTCCTTATGGATAATACATTTTTGACCCTTATTTTTAGTTTATTTTTGAGATTTTGTTGTTGATCTAATACCTTTTGCTGAATCCCTAGTGTCAGCAAGTATTATATATTGTTAACATTAAAGGTTTTGATTCTGTGTATGTACATGCTAACCAATCCATTTCACTTAATATAATCATCTAATATATGCAAATATATATAATATTTATATTTTAGTGGGCAGAAATTGGCCTAGCATGTTAGGTATTACATTCTTTGGCTTAGAGAAAAACGTATTTTGATGGTGGAGATTGGAATTGGAAGAAAATTCAATAAGGAATTTAGTAAATAGAGATTGAATGGGGAAGAGGATTAATTTTAACTGAATAAGTAACTGCTTTACCAATGCAAATTGGTTTAAAATAGGTCTGTTTTGTCTGAGAAATATATAACTTTCTGAGGTTCTTAGAAATGATATAGTTGGCTATAGTTTTTCCTAATCCTGTTTAGTTGGCTAATCTGTTAACTGTATTCAAAGAGGACCCAAGTTTCATTACCTGGATCAAGTAAGATCTAGTACTGGCTCAGTAATGCCTCAAAATTTCATATAATAGAAGCTGTTTAAATTAAGTTGTTTCAAGAAGTGTCAACCTATTACTGATTTTGGAGTTGACGAATGCTGTTATACTGTAATGATAATTATAATGATAAATAACATTTATTGAGGATTTACTTTGTGCAGGGCACAGTGCTAATCACTTTTATATACATTATATTATTAAATCATAACCACACTATGAAGCAGGTACTGTATCATCTAGTTTTATAGACAGGGAAACTAAAGCATAGAGAACATGAGTAACTTGTCCAGTATTACTCAGGAAATAAGTATGGAGTTGGGACAGCTTGACTCCAGAGCCCAGAGTCTAGATTTACGTTATACCACCTACAGAGTACCAAAATGAAGACGTAATTGACATTTTAAACCCAAATCTGATGCTTTCAAAGGCACCTTACTTGAAGCAAATAATTTACTTTATTAAGAAACCGAAGCAATTAGAAATATCACTGTGAAGTGAATCTTAGCCTCTTTGAGAGTACTCTTGATTTAAAAGAAAGAGAGAAAGAAAAAATAAAAAGCCAGCCCTGGCCGGTTTGGCTCAGCGGTTAGAGTGTTGGCCCACGATCCAGAGAGACCTGGGTTTGGTTCCCGCTTAAGGACATGTACCTTGGTCTCAGTTTGTCATTGGCTCTGGTTGGGTCGTGTAGGTGGCAGCCACTCGATGTGTACCTTTCACGTCGATGTTTCTCTCTCTCTCTCTCCCTCCCACTCTATCTGAACAAAAAATGAAAAAATATCCTCGGGTGAGGATAAAAAAAAAAAAAGCCAGCTACATTGAAGACAATTTAGTGAAGAAGATAATATACTGCTATAAAGCGTTTATGTTAGGTGTCTGTATTGTAACACAGAGCTTATCAAGCAGAATACAGTGATAGTGGCAAATTTAGGTCTCTTAATACCAGATTTGAGTGCTTAATAAAGCAAATTGAAATTTTATGTAAAGAAGAGTCATTCAACTTGCAAATCATGTAAACAGAATGGACTAAATATTTCATTAGTGTTCTACCTACATTTGGAATCCAACGAGTGGATTGAAATTAGCAACAGAGTCACACATTTCACATTACCTAGCCTTTCTATGTGTTTTTTGATCTCTATAAAGTGGACTAATTGTTTAGTAAATAGGCCTAAACATGTAACTAACTCTTCATTGGAGTGCAAGTAAATGATTTTCTGACTGTAGTTGTTGGTTACTAGAAAAAATTTAGAAAAAAATTTTAAGATTACACAAACTTAAATTGATATTTTTTTAATCTAAACCTAGAAAAGTTTTTGTGAACTCTAAAATACTCATACCCATGTATTATCTTTCTTAGATTAGTAGATACATCTTTAAAAATTATTTCTCTGAAGGTTGATAGTTGAGTTAGAATGTTCTGAACATTTAATACTTTTTTAGGCAGTTAGATGCCGTTTAATGTTACAGAGTAATAATTTTCTATCTCACAATCTTTTCAATTCTGTTTTTAAGCCCTTAACAGAACTTCTATTTTGAGGCAAAAGATTTTGAGTAAATTTTTCAGTAAGCTAGCTTTCGTGAGAGTTAGAAATCCTGATGGGAATAAAGTAATTAGTAACAGTCATTCTTGTGTAATAGAGTAGAATGGAATTTTAAGGCTGGAAGAGCTCCTGCGTTTCTGTAACTGAACAATTGAAACACACAGAGATTGATTAGCTCTATAGTATTATATCCCATTAGCCTATATCTTTCTTCTGGAGCTTTTTCTTCTACTCTAGAGATTGTGTATTTATCTAGTTGTTAGATGAGAGCAAATTAGATGAGGCATCCTAGAATGTGTGTTTTTGTCTTATTCCATTAATTATTTTATTTGACTAATAATTTAAAGAGATTTTTAAAGTTTATTTTTAATGTTTTTATTGATTTTTTTTTTTTTTTAAAGAGAGAGGAAGGGAGATAAATAGAAACACCAGTGTGAGAGAGAAACATCAATTGGTTGTCTCATGCACGCCCCCTACTGGGGATTGAGCCCACAACCTGGGCATGTGCTCTGACTGGGAATGGAACTTCTCAGTCCATGGGTTGTTGATGCTCAATCCACTGAACCACACCAGCTGGGCTTAAAGTTTTTTATTTTTATTTTTTAATTTTTATTATTATTTTTAATCCTCATCCAAGGACATTTTTGCTTTTATCTTCGGAGAGAGAGAGAAACATCGATGTGAGAGACACATGGAGTGGTTGCCACCCAACGACCCAAACTGGGGCCGGGGACAAACTGCAACCAAGTTACGTGCTTCTAGCAGGAACCAAACCCAGGACTCTCTGGTTCATGGGCCGACGCTCAAACCTCTGAGCCAAACTGGCCAAGGCTTAAAGTTTTTATTTTTATTTTTTTTATCCTCACCCGAGGGCATTTTTGCATTTATCTTCAGATAGAGCAGGAGGGAGAGAGGGGAGAAGAGACAGAGAGAAACATCGACGTGAGAGAGACACATCGAGCGGTTGCCACCCACACGACCCCAACCAGGGCCAGGGACAAACTGCAACCTAGGTACGTGCTCTTAGCGGGAACCAAACCCAGGACTCTCTGGTCCGCAGCCCAATGCTCTATAACCGCTGAGCCAAACTGGCCAGGGCTAAAGTTTGTTTTTAACATATGGTTAGATTCACTTAGGTTTTTCATTTATTTAAATTTAAGTAGTAGTTGGTATATTTTTATTATATTGATAAATGACATTAAAATTATTTTTACTTTTGAAAGAATTTCTTTTCTAGAGTAAATTCAGCCACTGAATACATTTTTGAACGTGCTTCAAGTTATAATGGGTAAATGTGGTTCTTCAGGATTATAGTACCTAGTTATATGTTAGTCAGATTTTTTGTTTTTGGTTTGTCAGGGAATGTAACTATTAACAAATATGAAGAGTTTGACAAGATCTATGTGTGTTTACTAAAGAAAGCCCCTGGAACTGAAATGCATCATAGCGAACTGAAATGCAACTGAATTGCACATTTTTTCTTTAGTAAATTTAATCCTCTACCAAAACACAGTTTGAATCCCAGGACTTTAAAAAAATGGACAACTCAATGAAGATGAACCAATAATCTATATAGATTGACTATATAGTCACTGGAAATTTCTACTGTATTGGTTATTTTTAGTTCAATGATTCTAATTTTATTGCTTAAAAATTTCATGATGAGATTGCACAAGGCACTTCCCTTCTGTATATAATCTGCTTGGGGAGGCGTCTGCAGTCTCACTCTGTAAGAGTATAGTTCTGATCTTTTCCCTCCCTAGTCCTGGTTCTTTTCCTGGCAGGCACTATTGCTTCTTGGGCCTTGGGTCAAGAGACATATCACATGTTTCCTTCTCAGGGAAGGGGCCCTTCAGATAGTGCTTCTCTGGTTTAGCTGTGTAATTGCCCTTAAGGAAAGGGCCAAAAGAATTTTTGCCAAACAGTGCATGTATTAGGACTCCTTTTCCTGTCATTACACTATTTTCAAATCAAATGTGTAAGAAATCAGCAATATTTTGAAAAATACTAAATGAAAACATGGGGTAAAATACATTTACTCTTGGGAGGTATTTTTTTCATTTATAATTTTTGTTGAATTAACTCATAAATTGAATGTAAACATTTCTTTTCTATTTTGTTTTTTGATTCCACAGTCCATGCGGTAACACTGTTTCTAAATATCTTCGGATGCTTGGCTTGGTTTTGTGTTGATGCTGCAAGAGGGGTTGATTTTGGATTGAGTATCCTGTGGTTCTTGCTTTTTACTCCTTGTTCATTTGTCTGTTGGTACAGACCACTTTACGGAGCTTTCAGGTAAAATGTGTGTACTTTATGCTCTTTAAAACCTGTGAAGTAAATATTCATGGTACACCTTAAAGGGGAAAATTGTCACATTTTCATTAATTTTTTTTATTTTTGTATAACACCTTCAGAAAAGTATATATATATATCACATGCCTGTGTGTTCATTAGGTTTAAGTCATAAAACCCCATTTTTCCCTCTCACTTCAGAAAAATTAAACATGAAAATGAATGAATTAAAAATGAGAGCAGCCTTGGGTCTTAATATTTGTAAAACATTCTATTCTATATAATACAATTAACTTTAAGAATGATTTTGTTCTTTATTCCCTCCTTCAAAAAAAAAAAAAATCACAAGTGGTGATTATAGCTTAAATCTTAAATGAACCTAGGTAAGGTAAATATTCATGTAATGTTTAAAGTGAATCACTTTCACCTATTGTATTTTCTGTGTAAATTCACTTTTGGTATTTCAAAAGACAGCAATGTTTTAAAATTATTTAGACTATAAGATGAAGTATAATACTTTGCATCATATATTTTAATTGGTGGTGAGGATTAACATTTCCTAAATGCATATTCTGTGGGATATTAGTAGGTGTTGTGGAAAAAACAGTTCATTAGCTTAAGTTTGGGAACAGCTGGATAGTAAAGTTGAGAAAATTATTTTAGGATTTCTTAGACTCTTTAAGAGCCTAGTGTGCTTTGTGATTTGACCATGAAACCATTATTATTATTATACTTATTGTTGTGTAGAGCACCTTTTGGACTATTGCTTTAAGAAATAAACATTGGGAAATGCTTATTTATTTATTTATTTATTTCAAATCTTTATTGTTGGATGTAAAATGTATTACAGATGTTCCACATTTTTCCCCCATTGACCCCCTCCTCCCCACTCCCGCCCCCCTCCCACCTTTTCCCACACTATTGTCTGTGTCCATTGGTTATGCAGATAAGTTCTTTGGTTTATTTCTTCCCACCCCCCCAACCCCGTTCCCTTTGAGGTTTGTCAGTCTAGCAATGAATTTGTGCTTCTTAATCTCTTCACCTTTTTCACCCATTCCCCCAAACCCCTTCCCAACTGGCAACCAACAAAATGTTCTCTGTATCTATGAGAATGTTTCTGTTCTACCTGTTCATTTTGTTTGTAGATTCCATTGTTGATAGATATGTATTCATTGCCATTTTGTTTGTTCATACATTTTATCTTTTTCTTCAAAAAGACCCTTCATCATTTCATATAATAATGGTTTGGTAGTGATGAACTCCTTTAACTTTTTCTTGTCTGGGAAAGTGTTTATATGTCCATCGATTCTAAATGACAGCTTTGCAGGATAGAGTAATTTTGGTTGTAGGTTCTTGGTTTTCATCACTCTGAATATTTCTTGCCACTCCCTTCTGGCCTGCAAAGTTTCTTTTGAGAAATCAGCTGACAGCCTAATGGGTACTCCCTTGTAGGTAACTAGCTGCCTTTCTCTTGCTGCTTTTAATATTCTCTCTTTGTTTGAACCTTTTGCATTTTGATGATGATGTGTCTTGGTGTGGGCCTCTTGGGGTTCATCTTGTTTGGGACTCTCTGTGCTTCCTGGACTTGTATGTCTGTTTCCTTCACCAAGTTAGGAAAGTTTTCTGCCATTATTGTTTCAAACAGGTTTTCGATTTCTTGTTCTCTCTCTTCTCCTTCGGGCACCCCCAAGATGCGAATGTTGGCACGCTTGAAGTTGTCCCAGAGGCTCCTTACACTGTCCTCATTTTTTTGGATTCTTTTTTCTTTTTGCTGTCCTGATTGGGGATTTTCTGCTCCCTTATATTCCAAATCGATGATTTGCTCCTTGGATTTACATACTCTATTATTGAAGCTGTGTAAATTATTCTTTATTTCAGTTAATGCCTCCTTTAATTCTAACTGTGTATCCATGATTTCTAACTGGTCCTTTTTTATGCTCTTGAGGCCCTCCCTAAGTTCACTGAGGTTCTCACTAAGTTCATTGAGCATCCTTATAAGCAGTATTTTGAACTCAGTATCTGTTAGGTTGCTTATCTCCCTTTCGCTTAGTTCTTTTGGGTTTTGTTCTGTTCTTTCATTTGGGACCTGTTTCTTTGTATCCTCATTTTGGCTGCCTCCCTGTGTTTGTTTCTGTGTATTACTTAATGAGAGGTATGGGGCTCGCTGAGACCCGGTGCTGCTCGTTTGAAAGAATTTAGGAAAAACCTGAAGCAGGATCCAAGACCGGCCAATCCTATGGTTAAGCAAGTGGCAACAGCTTGGGTGGACTTGAAAGTTGGGTGGGGTGGGGCGGGGCCTCAGGGAGTTAGCAGGGCGGGGCTACCAGTGTGAGCCAGGTTGCTGGAGTCCCAGATATGGCTTCTGTCTGCCGCCCCCGGGAAGGGCTCACCAAAGGAACAAAGGCCTCTGACAGCACGTTTGTCCCCGAGGAAGCCCCCTCTCCAGCCCTCGCTCCAGTGCCAAACAGCTCAGTTCTTCCCTGTGTGTCTCTGGCGCCCCTCGAGCTGCCTCCCCTCCAAGCTCAGAGGGAGAGAGTCCGATAAGTCCGTGCGCGGGCCCTTTAAGGAGCTGCCTGGGGCTCCAGCCGCTTCAGCTTCCCTGAGCCTCAGTTTCCGCTGGTTTTTCCAGCCAGAAGTTATGGGGACTTCTCTTCCTGGCACTGGAACCCTGAACGGGGCACCTGGTGTGGGACGGGGACCCCTCAGTCCTCAGGAAGGACCTTCCCAGCTGCGGGATCCTCTTGATTTTTATCCGCCACACTTGGGTGTGGGACCAGCCTGTATCGCCGCCGCCGCTTCTCCTACCAGTCTGGATGTAGCTGCTTTTTTTTTTTTTAATTCCGTAGTTGTACGACTTCCATTCAGCTTGATTTCAGGCGGTTTTGAATGATGGTTGTTCTATAGTTTAGTTGTAATTTTGATGTGGTTGTGGGAGGACGCGATACCGCGTTTACCTACGCCACCATCTTGACGGGAAGTCCGGGAAATGCTTATTTAGATGATACATTTAATTGTTTATCAAATCATTTTTATTTGAATAAGCTAATTTATGAATAATGGTCCTCTTTCAACTCTCATGAATGAGAGGCAACATTACTAAGAAATAAGTATATATTGTGCAGATGATATATTAAGGAAATTAGGGGTCCACATTCAATTGTTTAACTTTTTTTTCATTTCAACATAAAATTTTGATTAATTGGAATGTTTAGCACCCCCTGCCCCTCCCACACATGTGCACACAAAACAATGGAATTAGAAACCTAGATATGTAAATGGATGGAAAAAAAAAAAAACACGGAAAAGAGAGAAGATTGAGAATTTGGAGAGAAAGGGCATCATTAACAGAAAACTAAATTGGTTAGAAATAAAATGAAGGGAAGTAAATAGATGGGAGGAGGGAAAACAAGGAAAGAACCTGTAGGTAGATATTGAAATATGGGAGGTTGGTTGTCAAGGAATGGGGTGAGGGACCCCTGTAGGATGTGGACTGGAGAGAAATTAAAAGGACCTATTTACTTTTTGCATGATCTAGGAAGAGTTACTGCTGTTCTTTTCCTTGTTATCTAAGCCTGGCTCACAAGGTTTTTTAATTTTTAATTTTTTGACATCTGGCCTCTGCCTGCCTACTTTCATTATGTTACCAGTATATCTTTAATGATGCTGGTGGGTGGCAATTGGGGTGTATTAATTTGAGACTTTAAAAGTGACCTGAGACTAGAGATTTTGGATTTTAAACCTTCTGTGACTAATGTGGCCAAAACAAACTATGAAAAGCCAGTTATTTTGCCTTTTATTACTGAAGTCATTTAGTTCCTTTCATTCTCTTTTTTTGCCAGTTGAAATAAAAATGTTTTGTGGAACATTTTTATTTCTGGCATTATTAATATGTAGGCTAAATTTTTAGCTGTATCTTAACCCATTAGAATATATCACAAATATGTTAATTATATGGGTTTATTTGGAGCAGAACTGAGAGGAAACATTTTTTATGGGAAAAGTTGAAATTAAAATATCTGAAATTGCCTGGCTGGTATGGCTCAGTGGTTGAGCATTGAGCCATGCACCAAGAGGTTGCCAGTTCGATTCCCGATCAGGGCACATGCCCAGGTTGTGGTCCCAGTCCCCAGTGGGGGGCGTGCAGGAGGTAGCCAGTCAGTGTTTTCCCTCATTAATATTTCTAGCTCTCTCCTTCTGTCTTCCTCTCTCTATAAAATCAATAAAGAAAAAAAATTTTTAATAAATAAAATATTTGAAATCATCAATATAGCTTCTCAAGTGTATAACTTTGAAGTTTTTTTTTTTTTTTTTTTTTAATCCTCACCCAAGGATATTTTTCTGTTTATCATCAGATAGAGTGAGAGGGAGGGAGGGAGAGAAAGAGAGAGAGAGAGGGAAACATCGATGTGAGGGAGACACATTACCGGTTGCCTTCCACACGACCCGACCAGGGCCAGGATGAACTGCAACTGAGGTACTTGCCCTTGACCAGAATCTAACCCAAGACTCATTGGTCCATGGGCTGATGCTCTAACTGCTGAGCCAAACCGGCCAGGGCTGGAATTTTCTTCATCCAGATTGCTAAGTGTTTCTGAGTGTAAGTCTCTTTGGAAGTTCTTAGTAAAGTTTGTTAAACATTTATTAATTATATATTTCTCCCTTAAATATGAAACTCTCAAACCAGGTACAATGGGTATGATTATTTATATTAAATATAGGGTTTTAAAGAGATTTTACTTATTCATGTAGGTGCTTTATTTGAGACCGTGTTGATAGGGATTTCTGCCTTTGAGAAGGGGCAAGTCAGGGGATATACAGTGTTTCATATTATGTTTTAAGAATGATGGTTAAGAAATGAAACTCAAGCATCTGAACATACTATGTAAGTCAGTAGAAAATGGGTAACTAAAACTTTTTAGGCCAGGTTCACATATTTCTTAAAAGAAGATGTTATTAAAAACATTTATTTTTATTAATCAGACCCTTGAATGAAGCTAAAGTGC